TAAAAAATAACTGCCTTAAATATACCAGAAATATTGTGAAATCAAAAAGGGGAATAATTCGACAAAAATAGATTTTTTTAATATAATACAGAGGGTAAACGAGCATACGGCTCACCTAATGGTGATTATCGCCGCCCATGAACACCCGCAACACCAGAGGAAATGCAGGTATGCTGCCAGCCTTTTAAAAAACACGTTAAAGGTTACGATGTCCAAACAATTCCTTAGTACACAAAAAATATCAAAATCGGTCTAAAATTCGCGAAGATCTATATCTTGCATTGTTTATATGTTTGTATATACAGAGTACTTTTAGAAGTCAAATAAAAACAAATTATTTATTAGTAGGTAAAATTTATTGGGCCATCAAACTAGCCATTGATAAAGTGGAGTCAATTGTATGACCTATTTGTGGAACTACGTGAAAAGCTAAGGAGGATTTCTACTATTGGTCACATTTACATAGCTTTCCTCACTACAGTGTAAACTAAATAGAGGCTTATTCTGTGAGACTGATCGCGTGCGTACACGCTCAAGTATTCGTCTATCTAATAACGATTAAAAATTATTGCAGAAACTATTCTATGTGCTAAAAAAGTACGTGGTTGCTGAAATTAAGTGTATTCCTGTTAGAGTCTTTGGTTGCGAACGACTAAACTTAGTCCAATTTAACTCATCTAAGACATTAGCTTGCACGTTTACCGCTGAAATGTAGCTCCATAGTTCTAGAATACGTCTGTTATAATCTTCAGAAGTATTGGGAACCTCGGCATCGATTAGCGCTGTCGAGTTCTGGAGATATTTTTTTTATACAACTTAGAATGGCAAACAAGCTGCCGGCCCACCTGATGGAAAGTGTCTTATACAAAAGTCGCTTATACACAAGCAGTACCATGGACATAATAGAGTATACTGTTTCACCCATGATACCCCCATGCGTTGCCATTCCTGAGGACTCAGGTGTTATTTCTCCGTACCCAGTAAATTCACGCCATATCCCACCCTATCTAAAAGATAGGGCGTAATCTGTTTGTTTGGTTTGTCAAAAAAAAGTTTGGGGTACTCAATAGAGAGAAACGGTACTTCACCTCGAGATAAAGATTACTGTTATATAAGTTGCAAGTCCAGTCTCTCATTAAATATTGCTCTCATCTTTGGGCCAGGGCATCTGGATGCCAGATTGGGCATCTTGACTAGGTTTAAAGACAGGTTATGAGAATTTTCGATGAACTCAAGCTCATGGGCGTTAACAAGCCCTTGTCTTTGGTGAGATTTTACCTCCATTTTAGTGTTCTACCATTTGTATAACGGATCGTATTCTAAGGAATTATTTGAAATGATGCCTACAATCACCTTTTATCATCGCTCTGTTTGCCATCGACAGGGAATTCATCCTCATATGCTAAAACCTAAATGCAAAAGCTCAGACTGTAGAGTAGAATGAGTTTCCTACTGAGGTTTTCCCTAGAGACTGCAGTATGGGATTCTTCAAAAAGGAAGTATTAAGATTCCTTCAGGGTCAGTAATGTGCACGTATTATCCTTAGTGTTACGGGCGTCCAAAAACGTATATGATCGTATATCATTAAATGGGCTGTATATTTGATTGTCACCTTTATGGTATAAAAAAACTCCAACTCCATATATTGGATCTAACACGGTTTAAGTAAAATAATGATTTAAGAAGAAAAACGATCTCGCTATGACATTATAACGATATACAGTTACTATAATCCAGAATACGGACATTTGAGAAGAAGATCGTAAATAAATTTAGCACTTGGCAACGACATCCGGTTTATTTGGTACAGTCAAGTACGTAAAAGTTAAAATATATTTTATTTGTTTATTATTTGCTTTTAAAAATAGTGTTATTTTTTATTTATATAACTACTTTAAAATAGTTAATGTCTTTTTTACTATTATTATATTAAAAAGTTATTTATTATTGTATTTTTATAATCATGTAATTTTATATTAATGCGATTATGATTTTTTGACTGACACATTGATATTATGCACTTTTAAATTTATGCATTTAAATTTATTTACCTAAAATAAAAAAGAAAAATAATATACTTTCTAATAATTTAAAGCTAGCTACCAAATTTCTCCCGTTTATATATTTAAATATACAGCAATTTAAATCAACTCTATATGGTATCTTTAATGTTGTGGTTATCTATATTGCAAGTTTCTATAGAAAAGCTAGTTGTTGCATGCATATACATGCAACCACAATGCTTCTCTCTTGTATATTACCTTTATTTAATAAGAATTAATATCTAATAATGTGTTATATATATATATATATATATATATATATATATATATATATATATTATATATATATTATATATATATATATATTTATATTTATATATTAAAAATGTGCTGTAGCGATAAAAAATAGCTGTAAAATATTATATTGATAAAAGAAATAAATTATGTTTATTATTATATTAGTCGTAATGTTAATATTTCTTTATTATTAATTAAATATTTTTCCAAATCCTAAATATAAAAACTAAGTAGAATAAAATGAAATTAAAAATGAAATTATAAATACGAAACTTTTTATTTACTTATTTTTTAATATGCGTGTTATCTAAATGTATAATTTATTTGAAATTTTAATAGATGTGAGCAATTTTTTTCATGTGAACTGTACCAATGCTGCTTAGTGATGCTAATGGGCACTTCAATATGTATGTAGCTTACGGATGTATATTATACGCATGTAAAATATTTGATTATTGTATTCTATTAATATACGACATTAGCCCATATATGTTTTGTATACCTACTTTAAAAATAATAAGAAGAAAAAAATCAATGTATAAATCCAGCTGCAATGTTTTACAAGATCCAAGTACAAAATGGAATCCCAGCCTCAACCTTTAACTGTTCTAGGAGTCGAGAGCACAAAAGAGAATTCCAGCTGTTACAATTGAAAATTTTAAAAGATTTAAGTCCAAAATAGAATTCCAATTTTTTGGGGGAAAGGGATTGTTAGCGATAGGTTCTAACATCCCTATTGCTAGCAATGTTACTAATCAGGTCGACCTCCACGTGGTTCCCCTGGAAACCATCCTGGTTGCTTCTCGTGGAATTCTTCACGACGGGCTAACTGACCTACTTTCATCCTTATCTATCATCTCTCACTGGTGCTCTGCCAGCGTATACCGTTAACGCAGGCGGGATTACCATTTCATTATCATCCATTTAAAGAAAACTCCATTTTTTTATGTTTCAGGAGATCCAAGTATAAAACAGAATCCCAGCCTCAATCTTTGTACGTTAGGGAGGTCTAAGTTCAAAAGAGATAACATTAATCTTTGAATGCTTCAGGAGATAGAAATACAAAATAGTATGACAAGCTTATCATCCATGAATCTCACCCACAAACTTTGAAAAGACCGAGTTTATGTTTGAATCTCTTTAAAATCATTGTCTTTTTTTTATCCAACTTAGAATGGCAAACAAGCTGACGGCCCACCTGATGGAAAGTGGTAACCGTCGCCTATAGACATGAACAGTACCATGGACATAACAGAGTATACTGTTTCGCCCATGATACCCCTATGCGTTGCCATTCCTGAGGACTCAGGTGTTATTCCTCTGTACCCTGTAAATTCACGCCATATCCCACCATTCAAACCGAAACACAGCCATGCAAACACAACTGCTTCACGGTTGAAACACGAATGGGACAAATACGAGTATGTAATAATAATGTCTCTATTCCATATGACATTAGAAGATATTATAAAGGCCTGCAATAGCATCAGCCAGACTAATATGTTCTAGTCAATCAATCCAGGTCTTCTCTTTGCTCGCCAGATGGTACGGGCGGGCGAGGTAGGAGCCTCGGGGCGTACCCCTTTGCTCCGGCTTCTACTCTGGAAGCAACAACCTTCGGGACACTAGCTTTTAAGCCGACATACACGGGTGGTCTGTATATGTCGGCGTGGCGTCTTTGATCTAGTTTAATGAGGATTAACTAGACTTTGACATTAGAGGGCGCCACTGTCACACGATAAAAACTACGGGACAATTTTCTATAGACTTTATTTTTATTAGTTAGCGCCATCTAATATCATTTAACCAAACTATTAGAATTATTTCCGAAGCTTATCGATCACTCCGCTTATCGAAAGCATTCAATTTAATTTTCAAACCACAGGCAATGTGACAACGCCAGTAGGTATAATGTTTTCTCACGACATTTGCTTTATCTTTCCTTTTTATGTAAGAGTAAAATTAGGTGATTAGGAATTATATATATTACTTTTGACGCTACATGAGATAGTTTGTCAGTAGTTTTTTTAATGCGTGAAAATGAAATGGTAACCACGCCTAAGCTATTGAAACACACTGGAGGGATACCAGTGAAGGATGATAGGTGAGAATGAAGACAGGTCAGTTGGTCAGCAAAACAAGGTGTATTGCTAGCAATGGGGCTACCACCACCAAGATAACAGTGATTATTATTTATTATTTATATACAGCCTTATTCTCATCTATAGATAAGAATGAGGCAGCGTATGGTGAAGAATTCAACAAGAATGAACTATGATGGTTTCTAGAAGGAACTGCGTGGAAGACAATAGGGTATATTGCTAGCAATGGAGCTATTAGAACTAACAATTCCTTTCGCTCTTATCATCTCTCATTGGTGCCCTACCAGCGTGTACTGATAGCGTAGGTAGGGTTATCATTCCGTTTTCACACATTGAAAAAATACCTTAATCCTTAGAGGATTTTTTGGTAAACTTACTTTTTTGCTTTACATGTTTATACATAGGTGACGCTTACTCTTTGAAATATACTGTCAAAGAACTTTAATACGAGTAAACCTCATACTTGATTAAATTTTTTTTCCTCATATTTTTGCATTTTAATTTTTATGTATACTTACTAAAGATTGTTTTAAAATTAATCTTATATTTGTTTTTAGTGAAATAAAAAAAGGATAAATAATTAACAATTAAGTATTTGAGTATATTCATTTATTTCCTCATTACTTGGATCCATCGTAAATTAAAATAACTTAGTATGAACTAAATTAATGTCATTTTACAATAAATCGTTCAATAAATAAATTCGTTCGGTAATAAATACTTGTCGCAATACCCAATCACACAAAAATCAAAGTAAAAATAAAATATAACATAATAAATGGTAAAATATTAAAATAAAAAAAAATATCTTTGGAACAAAAACTTTTAAAATATTTGGTAAATATTAAAGTGAAATTAAATTACATAAATATTATTGATTTACAATATTAATACAATAAATGAGTAATATTATATTAAATATGTATCTTTGTCTAACAGAAAAACATTTAGTAATACTATTAACATATTAAAAAATATATAAAGTTTTATGAATAATATAACATTATTAAAAAAAAAACATAATTATAAAAAGAAGTATTGTTGAAATATAAATAGACTACATATTTAGTCATACCATACGAATATAACATGTACATAATAATAATATATTAAAATATATAAATAATTAAAATAAAAACAAAAATCAGTCGCAATGCTTAAAAACAAAAAAAAAAACTAAAATACTATACTGACTCATTACACACTAACATTCACGTACACACTTTAAATACCACTCAAGCATTTCACCTAATAGAAACGGTGGTCATGATAGAAGACTAAATGGGAACAGAGAAGAACGGTTTGTTAGGCTTAGTCCAAACTCTTTCGAACTGAGCCTCGGAAATCTTATAACGACAATAAATAATTTCAATTATTAATTCTACGCCTGCTTAATATGCGCTCCGTATGCTAGTTTCTGAGCATCCTGTGACCTTCCCCAACCACCGTTGTTCTCCCAACCGTGGTGTTCTTCATGAGCCGGTTCAGACCAGCCGCTGCTCTTCTTTGAATCTAGAAGCTTCTTTATCGCTCCAAAAGCAGCAGCGATGAACGCTATCTTTCCAAGGAGGTAAGCCTTGAAGACTGCGAAGGCAATGATACCGAGGAATAGTGGAACTAATGCAGCCAATTTCAATTTAAGCAGAGCCAAGATTGGGAGCAGCTTCTTGAGCTTCTTCTTTTTCTTGCCACGGCCTGTGAAGAGGAATAACACGTTATTAAAATGATTGAAAATGTAGATGTCAGACAAAACTGTGATAATCTGTTGAACATGTATTCTCTCAGAGTGAGACTAAAAAAAACTTTAGATTATACACACATTTATGAAATGAATTTATAATTCATAAATTTTTGAATAAAGAAAAAGTGGAGTTTTTGAAAAATTAACTGTCATATAGAACTTCAAATAGTCAATATATAATACTGATTTTTACTCACAGATTTGTTCATGTGAGCAGGTTATATGGATTGAACAGAATAAATAGTACTTTACGATTTTCTCTGTGTCCTATATATTACATATAGTATTTGGGATAACATTGAGTAACAGGCGCCAAGTAAATTCACTTTTATCTTCATAATTATGATTTTAATAATAAATATTACATTATCAAAGAGTAATCATCATATCATAACAAAAGCCTTCTCTTTGGATAGCTTTGCCAATAGTTGCCATGCTTAGCAGACGAATTAGCAACCGTAGTTAGATTTTGTTGATGTTCTAAGAGGGTCGCTACTGTCCATCCCTCCACTATTAAATTCCCTTAGTTGCCACTCACGACCATACTTTAAAGAGTGTCAGAACCTAACCTATTCATGAAATCGAATCTATTGACACAAAAAAACTTTGTTTATCAATTGAAATTCCTATCCAACTCTCCATTTATTGTGTGTTTAACCAAGTTTAACGACGGTGTTCCGTCAACAAACCTACTTTGTCCTAGAGACGATTGTAGGCTGCCCCTGCCTTATTGGATTCGAATATGCTTAGTGAAGTGTTGACAAATTGAGTGCGATGTTCAATACTCTAGTTTGTTTAATTATTTAAAAGGTCTATTTAAAAATGGTAATTAGTAATTTACTCCACTAAAATACCTTTCATTTTCTTTTTTTCTTTGTTTAATTTAATGACAGTTTACCATCAGACGAGCTGTATGCTTGTTTGTCACTTTTGTGGTACAAAAAAATCTTATGTCTAATAATAGATATAATGCAAATCAGTAGTCCATTAATGTGTTAAATGTTTGGAATTGTTATTAAAGTGATTCTATAGTAATTTCACTAAAACTTAGTTGTCTTTTTATGAAGTTCTAGTAATAGACTATACACACAAAGCTTATAATTATATATATTCAATTATCATTAATGATTAAAATATATTTTTTTTCATATCTAATATCTATAGGAAGGTTGCAACTGTAAGTCTTTCTCATATAAGTTCTTAAATTTTATATACTTCTTAAAGTAGGCACTTATAATATATAAAAATTATAAAATATAAAAAGTGAATCCCATTTTACAATTCGTGGCTTAGCTTGTGATTCAGTTCATATTTATTTATTTATTTTATTTATTTATTCATTAAAAATAATTACAACATTATAACAGCAAAATATATATTACATACGTTAGTTACCTTCTCAATATATGATTTGTCTGCATCTTCGTTATTTCAGTGGTCTAATTTTTGATAATACTTGTCTGATTCTAGGTTTTTTTTTAAATTGTAAGAATCTTAAATATAATATTGACTGTATTTTTTTTAATATTGTATCTAATTTTAGTATTTGAATTTAGAAATAGATTTAAATTATTATATCCTGTTTCATAGTTTTACATATCTAATTGGCTAGTCAATATAATTCTTGTAGTGTTTTTAACCACTTTGATAAATAGTAAACCAGCAGATATGTTCTATGAAGAAATCATTAATATTATTTTAATAGACCTTGGATATTGTGTCAAAACCTATTCATACAAATTGACCAGGCACAATACAGTATTGTGAATAGAAGAGGACTATTCATAAAGAAAGTGAAATGAACTTTACGCGACCATTTTGAGAGAAACCCGAGAAAGTAAGGAGACACAAGGCACATGTAAATCACTTAAAGGTTATGAAAGTCTTGAAAAAAATAAAAAAAATATAGTCTATGACCATAATTTTCTTGTTCAAAGAGTGAATTATATTCCAAGTTATCGTAATTCAGTCAGTCATTGCATAAATTAAATTCTAAAAGTTCCTGCTGACTTCATGGCTGACGTATAAAAAAATGTGGAAAAAAAATCTTATGTTATTCGTGAAGAGATCTAGTTACTTGTGATATGGGTTCTTTGGATACCCAGTTCAGGCACTGTTCTCTACAACTTTGCACGGTATTATTTTAAGAGTCTCATTTTACTCAAAAAGTTGTGAGATAAATAAATAACAATTTTTATTGTTATTGTTATTATTATTATACAACATATTTACCATTTCTGTATCAATTTTAATGATTCTTTATGCAGGCGAGAGAGGTTAAGTCTGCAATTATTGGCCCCATACCAAAAAGTTCTAGATTGGAACCAGTTTTACTTTTTGGAACGAAATCTTAAATTCTGATATCTTTTATGAAAGTTTTTAACCGATGGAAACACGAGGGAGATTCACAATTAAGTTTTCAAGTACTCCTATAATATTTACATATTTGAAATGTGGTCAGATATTAATTGTTCTATCCTAAATGACAATATTGTGGAATGAAAATAATTAATAAATTAAAACATGGAAACTTACTCAATTACTCAGCAGGTAAGTTAAAAATTTAGAAAATAAACAAGGTAAAAATTCCGTATTATTTGTTTTTTTTTTTCTGAGTCAACACAATACGAGTGCAAGTAAGCATACTTCGCATGTAGGTGTAGGAAACAATAACAGCCAAGCTATCTCCCACATTCGACTTTGTACGAACAAACAACATATATTCTTAGCATAAAAGCCTGCACTTGAAACCTGTTTATAGTCAATAGATGCTAGATAATCGTATGTTACGGATATAGAAAAGTGAGATGCGTCGTGACAATTTATTTAATTAACTTTCATGATAAGTAAATCTAAGATACACCTAGTGGGCATAACATCTAAGTACGTTCTCAACAAACATAGAACAAGCAGTTTGTTAATTTGAGTAGTTATTTCATATTTTTTAATATATATATTTTTTTAAATATATATATTTTTTTTTATTCTATAAAAGTGGCAAGTTTATAAAATGACTATAATTTGTAATAAGAATAAAAAAAAATTGTTTACGGTGTTCCATTTTATTTTAAATGCGTATAACATAAAAATAAAGTTTTAATAATAGCATATTAGCTTATTGCTTTTTATATCAAAACTTTGTATTATATATCGTTGAAATTTATGCGCAAAAAACTATTTGTAGACTTTTTCATTGGATTTATTATTTTTTAAATGCCAATAATTAAAAAAATATTACGCATCCTCTATGTATTTTCTATTAATTAAAGGTTGTTTGTAAAAGACTGTCCTAGCAATAAGACCGCCTTTTGTGCTTTTATGTCTCTACTTTAATCTATATTTAATCCTGCTGTATTTTAATTATTTTTTTTAATTGGCATTGTATAGCATAATATATTAGGTGTAATAAAGAGTTAAGTAATATATAAAGATAATAAAAAAATGACTATTAATGCTTCAATCTAAGTTTACTTGAATAAAAATATTTCTTTATTTCTGTATTTCTTTCATTCTTTCATAAATAAATACTTAGATAAAAACTGCTTGCTACTAAGCAGTTTTGTAAAAGTAAAATTCCGTATTCTAAATTCAAATATTTTCATTATAATATTTCTATAAACTATCTTATCTTCTATCTACGTATTTGCTTTTTATTGTAATCGCTGTATTTACGAGACAAAATGTATTTGATTTATTAAAAATATTGAAATCGATTATTGAATGAAATGAAATATAAATATACTACGAGTATAAATAATTTATACAATATTATGAAAGCTTAGTCTCTTCAATAGATTATCTACTTTGTGATTTCTAATAGCGATTGACTTTTTTTTGCCAGACATTGAGACAAAATCGTGTGAAGAAGACCGTCCCGTTAAGATTGTAAATCTTTTAAGTTATCATTAAAATGGCTTTAATGGTTCAATTGTTAACACATACATACAAGTTTCATGCAGTTGTTTAATGATTTTGTTTAATAAATTGCTTAAAAAACACTTAGCCCTGTTTTTATCGGCACATTAATTATAACATCGCGAATTGCAAATGCGTTAATTTTTTTTTCTGCATTAAATTGAATTGTAAAATAATTTACGATACAATAAATAGTAACGTTACAATGTATTGTAAATTAATCAAAAAATAAAATCTTCCCATATTATTTACGTCGTGTAATTCCGGCATATAATGAGTCACTAAATCCTTTACCGTGGCTGTTGTAAGAGACGATTAAGGGATTTTAATCGAGGACTGGGTAGCAACGTTCCACTTTAAATATCACCAATGTCTAACTACGATTGCTAACCTGCTAAGCGTGGCAACTATAGGCAAAACCCCTAATACGGGGAGGCTTATGTTCAGCAGTAGACAGGTAATGGCTAATATGATGATGATATGATGATGTGATGTTGATTTTTTTATATTATTTATATTAATATAACATTTTCTTGAACACAACAAACATACGTACAAATAATGTCTCTAAAAATACCCGATTTAAGTTCATTTTAAAAAAAAATTTCGCGTGAATCAAATTTATTTTTTTCCTATAATAAACTGTTTAAAAATAAAATAACAATATAATTATATGTCAAGTGTCATAGGTATTATATAACAAAAATAACAAAATAATTATAACAATATACTATTCTTGTTATTCACGTTCAAAGATATATCATTACGTGATGATGTATTCAAATTTTATACATTTTATTAGCACACGTCAAGCGGTATTTCCTTTTATATGCAGATTTTAGCATATTAATAACATTGCATAAGGTAATAAATTACAGTAATAAAAAGAAGAGTTATAGTTCAATATTTAAATGAGCTTTAGATAATCACAGCTGTTTCAATTTACACTAACTATAGTATTTATCTTAGACTTCTTCCGAGTGAACGAGATAAAAATTAGGTCCATCTCAATGTTAAATAGTATGTGTATGACAAATTTCATGGCAATCGGTTAAGCCGTTACAGCGCCAAGAGGCAACAAACATACAAACTCACTTTCACATTGTTAATATTAGTAGTGATATTTTTCATACATTTTTTTATCATTAACTTAATTTAATTCATTCATTCTCCGCTTATTCAGTATTTTTTATCCGACTAGCATGTGTTTCCTGTCTTAAAGAACTAAGCGGATAGCCCTTGCTTTCCCAGGAATTTCGTAAGAGGCGACTAAGTGAACTTAATAATCGAGTCAATAGCGTCTCTTTTGAAACATCACCAAAATTGAAACTGCGGTTGGCAAAATTACTGGCAAAATGCCTCCAATGGTAAACTGCCATAAGGAATGCTCTCAGTCCTTTGGCTGTCTAGGTCTATATTGAGTGACGATTGAAATGCTGATGAGCGGTTACGGTTGATATCCTATCAAATCTGATTATAGTTGGAGGGAGAAAAGATTTTTTAGTAACAGGAACTAACAACTCCATTGCTAGCAATATAACATATGATATCGATCTCTACACGGTTCTCCTTAGAAACTATCAAGTTCGTCATATCTTAGCTAATTGACCTGACTTCGTTCTCATCCACTGTCACAGAATGGTACTAGTGTAAACTCATGGTACAGTTGGTAATATAATTCAATTTAAAAATACTGTTGGAAATAAAAATTATCTTACTAATATAATAAAATTATAAATAGATGATATTTGTATATAAGAGAAATATCTATATATCTATAAATATAGGAAAATTATATAAGGGGTCTTAATAAGACTAATATATGCAAAAACATTTTTTTTCTATATTTTTTCAATCTGTTTGTTTATCTGTCAGCCTGTCTGTATGTTTATTCCGACATCATGCAAAAAATACTGGATCAAATTAGATGCAGTTTTTTTAAAAGTGCCTATTTTATTAGTTTTTCTGCTTCTGAAATTAACGCGTACAAAGTAGCGGCCGAAAAGCTAGTTAGTATATAAATTTAGTAATGCTGGAGTGGTGCTGCAAAAATTTAAATTAAAAAGATTCGAACACACGACCAGTTTAATATTTTTGAGTCAAAGTAGGCCACTATTCTATAAATGGTGCAATAAAGTGTACATAAATACTTCTCAAATTTAACTGTTAGGAGGAAACATTGTTTTGTTTCTTTTTTCTTGTAGAGATAAAAATTATCCTATTACTAAAGTTAGAGTAACTAAATAATAAAACAAAAAAACAATGAAACGCTTTCGGAGATTAGTTTCAACTAAATTTATGACGGGATATTATTATTTTTTTAATACAATTCCTATAATTAATAAAATAAAATAATAGCGAACGAAAAATTTAGTTTTCGAAATATAAATTATTTATTTATGCTTAAAAATCGACTTCACTTTCAAATAAATAATTTAATTATTGTAATATTACGTACCTTCCTCGTCAAGTGAATTATCCTCTTCGAAAGACTTCGGCATTCTTAACTGCAGTGCGTGGTTGTCTAAGAAATCTACGATGTTATCCAGAATCCTTTCTTCCACTTGCTGTTCTCTCGCCTTGGGGTCCTCAGAGAGAGGTTCATAGCTCCGAGCTGATCTGGGACTACCAGTTCTTGAAAATGAAACTCCATCGACGAGAGTCAGCTCCTTGGACAGCGCTAGATTTTCCGTATACTTCATTGCCTTCTCCTGTAATTAATGGAGATTGTTTTAGTAAAGTATTGGTAATATTTGGTAGATTATAAAATAAATTGTTTTCAGATTATATCTAGTAGGTTCATATGGTGGTGATGATGATGATGAAACTAAAATCATCTTTATATATTATTCTAAAAATGGTGATTTTAAGATAGAGAGAAATTATAAATATGTAAAGGATATATTTATTATTTAGTTAATTTTCTAATAGGTATTAAAAATTTTAACTTAAAGTTAAAAATTTACGTAATATAATATTTATTATTATTTTTATTATTAATTTAATTTTAATAATCGAAACTTAGTTAACTTCAAATATTGGTATTTATTTAATTATTTAAGTCGAAGATCTAGATTGCATAATAAGATCTGTTATTTCAAAACAGATTTTTGTTTAAAACACCCTTGTCCAACTATAGGACTTTAAAAAATCTGCCTCTTTTATTTTAAAATATAATTATACAAGTATTTTTTTAACTACACATTATTCATTAGTTCAAATAACTGAACTTTATTATATTTCAACCTAACTTAACTGCATACCTCAAGCCGTGGCTGATAAGAAAACAATTTACTAAAACTGTTTTAACTATCCTAATTATCGATTAATATCAATAATTACATTCAAGATCATTGAACAAAATATTTGTTAATAACATATTGGTAACGAGTAATTGTATCATTCGTTATTTTTACTTCAACCCCCCATTTTAAAGCATTCGAACTCAAAGGACGGACGTCCTAGAAAATCATTCCAAATAATTGGAATTTAATCTAAAGTTAGGTTAAATGAATATTTAACAATTAAGCAATTGAATAATTGCTTAATTGTTTTGCAATTTGAAAAAGTCATGATTTTGTAAAATGGGAAGGTTCCCATTTTTAACTGACTTCAAAAAAGGAAGAATCCTAATTACGGTCTATTTTTGTGTTTAAGATAAATTATTTTTAAACGAACGAGTTTACTCTCCCGCTGACCCTCATTCTTTTTTTAAGTTAATTTTTTTAGAAATAAATCGTATAAAAACGATATTAATATCCAAATGCGGGATTGTGCACTTTATCGTGGACACATAAAATCCATTTTCGTATCACAGGCACTGGCACAACACTTCACTTCACTGAACACACCTTCAGGCACAGCATGGTGTCCGCATCCACGCATTCCCTTAGCGTCGATATGAGCTTGTCCGTGACTCCTTCCTCTTTAACCATGGGCATAGCCCCGGTGACAACCGCAACACACAATATAACGAACGCCTTCATATCTCCCCGCTGACTGACAATTGTTGGAGATGCCTGTACACCAAGCAGTTTTATTTTGTCGCCCCCTCTCTGAGTTTTCATATGTCACGCCTGCTATGACGAAATACAAACAGCAGGCTCGCCGCCGTAAAATGTATTAACACGTATTTGAAAAGCTTTTTAATGGTGCAAAAGTGTGTTATGATTTATTGGGGGTAATGGACAATAGGCATTATTTGTTGATGGGTAATGTTTAAAAATCACGTCCTAATCGACAAATAAGTTTTGAGTCTGGTGAAAAATGCACACAGACCTATTCGTCCAATAGTGATTATATTTATTTATCGTATACTAACTATTTAATGTGACTTTATTCACATGAAACCTGTTACCTCCGGTTTCCGTGGGAATATTATGAAAATGTATTGTTAATAAATACTTATGTTATAAAGTTAAGTCAAGTTATTTACATATATTTTAAATTCACAATTGGGTCTTAAAACGTTGGAAATAAAAATCTGATATGTAGGTACGAGTACAATTTACCTGTAAAATTATAAGTTTCCAATTTAAAATGTTTTTTTTTTATCTTTCTGGCTCACATCAATATCAGCGCGATCTGTCCTCACTATTGGATATGGCCCAGATGATTGGTCAGCTCAAAATATGGGAGATAGCTTGAATTATGAAAATAGACTGTAGCAAATAGTCAAGAGCGAAATTAAATATTGTTGCGATTAACGTAACTAAATGGATAATGTAAATAGTTTAAAATAAACATTACTATTATTTTAAACTATAAATATAAATAAGTGCCACACAATCACACCAATATATTGCTCATATATATATATATATATATATATATATATATATGAAGCATACCACATAATATAAATATTGTAGAGGGTCACAGTGAAAAATAATATTCTTTAGAACAACAATATATATAATACGTGTAGATACAAGACAAGACAACCATTTGAATAGAAACAAAAACCGTGTAGAAAAATAATATCAACATATATATGTGGCAAGACTTATATTTACATTAGGGCCACAAAGAAGTTTCAATAAATATAAGGATCTGATAAAGTCTATTTTTATTTATTAATGGTTGCACAGTAAAGGTCTTGAATGAGACCAATGAACGAACTGGCTTACAAGAAAAAGATTATTGCAAAACATTTTAACAGTTTAATTTGTGTAAAAATGTAATACTGACTAAGCAAAGAGTGCCTATTTTTCTTTTTTGATGGGTGAAAATGGAATGGTAACCCCGCCTGCGCTAACGGGATACGCTGGCGGAGCACCAGTGAAGGGTGATAGATGAGAATGAAAACAGGCCAGTTAGCCCATCATGATGAATTTATCAGGAATTAACCATGATAGTTTCCAGGGGGAACCACGAGGAGGTCGACCTGGATGGGTATATTGCTAGCAATGGGATTTTTAGTCTCCATTACTAACAATCCCTTCCCCCCCCCGCCCAAGAATGCCTCTTAAACAAAATCAGATCTCTTTCTTTATTTCTCTCTTAAGGCAACCTCAATCCGTAAATTGGTGACATGGCAAATTACTGCAATGGATTTTAGTTTACATTACTTTCTATATAAGTACATATATTATTAAACTTCGATGAATTTTTTTTTCTTTTACTTAATACCTATTTAATTTTTTTTATGCAGGTTCAAATTCACTGCCTGTAAATATCTAATACAGAAAAACTTTTTTCCGCACTGAACTAAGATGCTCTAAATTTGTTATAAAATTTATTATTAATCATTCTTTTACAATAAGTCATTGATAATGCGTTACATAGAACAAAGATAATTGCTTGTATAATATTATTTGTTTCAAATATTCGATAAGCAGTTGTGTTTGCATGGCTGTTTTTAGTTTGAAGGATGGGATATCAGCGTGAATTTATTGGGTACAGAGGAATAACACTTGAGTAATATATGGAGGGTATCATGGGCGAAAATATATTACATCGACCCCAAAATTTATATAATAGGCGACGGTAACGATAAGATCAGGTGGCTCGTCAGCTTTTTCTTCGATAAAAAAAAAATTGCAAATATTATTTGTCTAATATTCATAACTTTTTTTGTTTTTTTTATCGACATCAGTCACGAAGACGGTGGTAAAAGTCAAAACCTTGAGTAATATAACTAAAATATATAACATCGACCCAAAAATTTATATAATTGGGATAACGATAAGAAGATAAGCTCAATAAGCTTTTTCTTCGATAATTTTCATACAAACTTTCGTCCTTTACCTAGTCGTTTTAAGAAATAAATATTAGGAATCTTTTTCTATTCTACTCGTGAAACAAATTTTGGTTAAGCAGGCAATTTTTTTTTCTTTTATCGAATCATATTCTTTTTCTTAAATTGAGTATTTAATTAACTGACGTCAAAAAAGGGGAAGGTTCTATGTTCGACTTTATTTTTTTCCACTAGTAGAATACTTCATTAAAATGATCATAATTATTTCAATTTCATGCTATATATTAAGATTTTTTTTTTATATTAAACATAATAAAAAGGAAAGAAAAAACACTAAATGGACTGGGAATTTCGCAAAATCACTTTCTAAAGATGTTAATTTATATATCAGTGATTTCCGATTAATTCACATTCATTTGTATTCTAGATAATATGGTTATTTGACCATTTGAACGCATTGCGTACAACAAGCGAAAGCACCACCCGGGTGGTGATACAAAACCCGGTTATTGAATATAAATGACAATATTATGTCGCTCGAAGTTCCTGTCCGTTCTTCTGTTTCTGTGACGTATTGAGCCTGTTACTGGAAATTATATAATTGGCACTTTCTTTAAATTCAATGAATAATTTATTACGTGAACTATGTAATCGTGAGTCTGCCGATTTACATCCCTTTATTTTAATTGCAGTACTCGGTTTTAGGGTTCTGTTTTAAAATGCTATAAACATTTAATTTTTTTTTATTAAAATTATATACCTCTATTCAGCAGTGGACAGTTAACGGCTGATATATATTAAAATTAAAAAAAAATCATAGACTGTGATTTATTTATTAAACATTTATTATCTATTTTTATAAGACTTAGAATGGAGTGGCAAATACTATCGTTATACACTATATAAAGTTCTCGTAGTAACTGTGTACAGCGCTATAAATATTATTGAAGATACTGTGACATTTATATTATTAAAGATATTATGTTTATTTATTTATTTATACTTTATTGTTCATGAAAAATTAAATTGTTATATTTATATTAATATATAATACTACAACTGAACCAAGACACACTAGTTCTGTAATAGCTCTTCCAGAAATAGAATCTAAATTACTTATATCATATAATCACAAATTAATCACAAAAAATAAAAACAGAGCATTATGGCAGAAATAAAATTACCAAATTACATGTCACATATTTATTTATATATATTTATGTTATTTAAATAATTTTATTGACCATAATAAAATACATACACACAACATAAGACATAACACATAATATTTAAAATAATAATAAAATAAAAAATAAAAAAATCTCGTTACATATGTCTGCCTGTTTGGCATATATGTCACATCAGCATCATAATTTTGATAGTTTAAGTTTAATCGTCAATGCCAACTTCATTGCTATGTAAACTTAAAATATGGATTCGGAACCCAATAATGCCTGCACGATACGGTCTTTTTTGTTTTATTAATTGAAAATTAAAAAAAGAGGTTCTTCCTAGAAATTATTAATAATGAATGTTAGAATGGTGTTTTAAAATAAGTATTTCTTCAGGATTTCATTATAATGATATCTTTTATAACAGAGTTGTTACATGCGCGTAGTGACTTGTAACATAGTTTCTTCAAAAGCTACCGCAAGCACCAGTCTCTCACAAAATTGGTCTTCATATTAAATTGTACCTCAAGTTGTCACTTTATAACTACCTTTTGTGAAGAGAAAATAAACCATTCATTAATTAATTCATTCATTCATACGATTGTTTGTTACTTGTCAATATGGTTTACAAAAATTAAAAATATATCTCATCATGCTATCTTCTTCGCTTCGATCAATTAATTAATAAAATTAAATATTAATAATTAATACTACTAACAGTTAATAATATTAATACATTAATATTTATAAAAGTAAAAATTATCAAGCATTAATATTTATTATAAACAATTTAGGCAATAAAATTCATGACACTTAATTATTAAGATTACTAGCTTACGAGGACAACTTCGTACGCATTACGTATAGTTCCGGTTTATGTCACACAATTCTCTATCATCAGCTTGTTGAATCATCAAAAGGAATGGCAAAAGTGAAAAGATATTACCGCATTGTTAGAAACATTTATATGCACTGCAACTGTAATGTTCGCATTAGAAATGAAAAAAAAAATATTCAGGCATAAAGGCAATATATGTAACAGCATAATAAAAACTAACCATGTAATAATACCGTAGCCGTTTATAAATTTTAATCCGATTTTTTTTTCAAAATGTTTATTTTTAGTGTAGTAAACATAGTAATTAATAGAAAAATCTAACTAAATAATTAAAAGATATTGATTCTTCGATATTTTTTAAACATCAAAAAAAACTTGAATAATTTATGACATTATTTAAATAATATTTCAAATTGCAATTATGAATAAAAAATAAGTGGAGCTTATCGAAAAATTTAATTTATATATTTATTTTCTTCCTTTAATGTAATACACATTAAATTTTTGGCATATTATTATTGCAATGTTTGTAAACTAGAAATAATGATTACCTCAAAAGCTTATAGCAAGAAGTCGAATATCAATATACGTGGACGGGTTAAGACTATTCCATTTATTTGCGATAGCCTAGTTAAAAGCATTCTCTCCCAGTTAACCATAGGGAAGTATACTACTAATTAAAATAACTAATTTGGATAAATTACATATATATTTATCTATTTATATTATATATACATTAGTACAAATATGTGTACATGGCGGACTTAATGCTAAAAGCATTCTCTCCCAGTCAAC